GTGCTCTTAAAAGTGAATCATCTGATGAAGTTGCGAAACGTGCCGCTGAAATTCGAGCATGGAATGTTGCTGATCGGAAGGCATGGGCTATCATTTTTTGTTCCATCGATCCTGCTCTTCGCCCACAATTTTCTAATGTTGTTGAGGCGAAAAGTTTATGGGATCAGCTTGCCGAGATGTTCACCCAGATAGGGGACATTCGAGTTTATCAGTTGGAGCAAGAAGTTTACAGTGCTACGCAAGGGTCTCGCTCTATTCGAGATTTCTACAATTACATGCACTCACTTTGGAGTCAACTGGATATTCTTGCTCCTATTCTCTGCCCATCATGCCTGAACTGTACTCGGTGTCCATCTACTCGACTTCAGACTCAAGATAGGCACCGTCTACATTCTTTTCTTATGAAGCTCGGCTCTCCCTATGAAGGTGTTCGCAGCCAACTTCTTCACCGCTCTCCAAGACCATCCCTCCTTGACGCTGTCGAAGAATTACAGTCTGAGGAAACTCGTCTTGGTCTTCTTTCCCCCTCGGCAGTTTCTGATTCAACTGCTATTTTGGCTGCTCCACCACGTGTTCCGCCTACAGTTTTGGCTACTCCACCACGTCCTTCGCCTACTCGTGGTCCTCGCCGCCTTTCATGTACGTATTGTCATCGTCCTGGTCATGACGAGTCACATTATTGGAAGAAGAGGAATGCTTCACGCCTTTCTGCATCACCACGAGTCACTACCGCATCTCCAATCTCTCAACCTATTACTCTGGTTTCTCCCTCTACGGATGACCGTATTGCTGCTCTTGAGGCCCAACTTGCCCGTTTGAGTCCTTCTCTGCCCAGGTCTTTTCCCGATTATGGTACTTCTACAACTCTCTCATCTGCTGGAAGCACCGCTGCAGCTACTCCACCTTCAGGTGATATTTCTACTACTTGGGTACTTGACTCAGGAGCTGCTAGACATATGTCTACTTCCGCTGTTTTTCTCACTAAGCTCTCTAAGCTCAAGCAACCAGCACATTTCTTTACTGCTAATGGTTCTCCATCTTCCAACTTCCTCTCTTCCTCATCCTGTGTTGGCTACCCTCGATCTTGTTCGGTGGCATCAGCGTCTTGGACATATTCCGCCTTCTCGTCTCACCGTCCTTCACCAACAAGGTGCTTTGGGTCCTATTTCTTCTGGTAGTCTTCCTCCATGTTCTATCTGCCCTTTGGCCAAGCAATCTGCTAAGCCTTTTCCTGTTAGTAACTCTAGAACTAGTGCGATCTTCGATCTTATTCATTCTGATGTTTGGGGTCCTGCCCCGCTCTCTTCCAAGAGTGGTTTCAAATATTATGTATCTTTTATTGATGATTATTCTCGTTATACATGGGTCTATCTTATGCGTCAACGTAGTGATTTCTTTACCATCTATCAGTCTTTTACTTCCATGGTTTCTACACAATTTAATACAAAAATCAAAGTTTTCCGTTCAGATTCAGGGGGAGAATATCTCTCTAGTGTCTTTCGTTTCCTCTTAGCTAGTGATGGTACACTTCCTCAGTTATCTTGTCCTGGGGTTCCAGCTCAAAATGGAGTTGCTAAACGCAAGCACCGTCATATTCTAGAGACCACTCGAGCTCTCTTACTTGGCACATCCGTTCCCACTGAGTTCTGGGCTGAGGCTCTTCTCATGGTTGTTCATCTAATTAATTGCCTACCCTCATCTGTTCTCCATCAAGACACCCCGTTTCAGCGTCTCTACTCTTGACCTCCTAGCTATAATCATCTTCGAGTTTTTGGATGTACTTGTTTTGTCATTCTTCCACTCACTGAACGTACAAAGCTTACCGCCCGCTCTATCCCATGTGCATTCTTGGGTTACAGCACTGAGCACAAAGGTTATCGTTGTTATGACCCAAATGCGCGACGTGTACGTATTTCTCGTGATGTTACGTTTCATGAATACATCCCTTTCTTTTCAACAAATACTACACCTCATGTTTCGTCTCCTGTTCCATTTATGGATTTTCTTGTTGATCCTCTACCTGATCCTTCTAGTCCCTCTTCTACATCGGATCTAGATATATTACCACCTTTTCCATCTTCACCTATCCCTTGTGCTGCACCTCGTGCTGTATCTGCCCTCGACGATTCTGCACAACTAGAGCCACGCTGTAATTCTCCTCGAGATCGGCGTCCACCTGCCTGGTATGTTGCTGCTACTTCTTATTCTACTGAGTTTGAATCCTTTTTAGCTGCTGTTCATGCTGTACAAGAACCTAATAGTTATCGCGAGGCAGTTCAGCATGTAGAATGGCGCCAGGCTATGTCTGAGGAACTCTCGGCTTTGGAGAGTACTGGTACTTGGGAGCTTGTGCCTCTTCCTCCAGGTCGCTCCCTCGTATCTTGCCGATGGATATATAAGATTAAGACTCGTTCTGATGGCAGTATTGAGCGTTACAAAGCTCGTCTGGTTGCTCGAGGTTTCTCGCAAGAGTATGGTATCGACTATGAGGAGACCTTTGCTCCCGTACAAAGATGACATCTATCCGTGCTTTATTATCTGTTGCTTCAATTCGCAGTTAGCCTCTCTTTCAGCTTGATGTGAAGAATGCTTTTCTTCACGGTGATCTTCAGGAAGATATTTTTATGCAACCTCCGTCTGGTCTTGCTCATACCTCTGGATAGGTTTGCCGCTTACGACGGGCTCTTTATGGTCTCAAACAGGCCCCTCGTGCTTGGTTTGAGAAGCTCAGTGATGCTATTCAGTCTGCTGGTTTCATTCAAAGTGAGGCTGATCATGCTATGTTTGTTCATACCTCTTCTTCAGGCTGCACTATTCTTCTTCTTTATGTTGATGATATGGTCATCACCGGAGATGATCGTGACCATATTGAGCATACCAAGCGGCACCTTCAGCAACATTTTGCCATGAAGGATCTAGGACCATGTGCTATTTTCTTGGGCTTGAGATTGCTCGCAGTTCACGTGGTATTCTCATTTCTCAGCAGAAATATACCGCTGATATTTTGTCCATGGCTGCTCTATCAGATTCACGTACTGCTGCCACTCCTATTGAGCTAAATCAAAAGTTTTGCCCAGACGATGGAGAACCTCTTTCTGATATCACCCGCTATCGGACCTTGGTTGGCAGTCTTATTTATCTTACTATCTCCCGACCTGACATCGCCTATGCTGTTCATGTTGTCAGTCAGTTTGTTGCTGCTCCTCGAACAACTCATTATGCGGCTACTTCTAAGGATTCTGCGCTATCTTCGAGGCACTTTATCGCGTTCCTTATTTCTACCATCCTCTTCTGCTCTCAAGTTGCGTGCCTATTCTGATGCTGATTGGGCTTCCAATGTCACTGATCGCAAATCTATCACTGGTTATTGCATTTTTCTTGGCGATTCACTTATTTCTTGGCGTTCCAAGAAACAACATATTGTCTCACGCTCCTCTACAGAGTCCGAGTATCGTGCTATGGCCGACATTACTGTTGAGATTGTTTGGCTTCGCTGCTTACTTGCTGATATGGGAGTTTCACTTCTGGATCCTACTCCTCTGCATTGTGACAACAAGAGTGCCATTCATATCGGTGCAAATCCAGTCTTTCATGAGCGTACCAAACATATTGAGATCGATTGTCATCTAACTCATCATCATCTCCAAGCTCGCACTATTTCACTTCCTTTTGTTGGAACTGAGAATCAACTTGCCGATTGTTTTACGAAGGTTCTTACATCACAACGATTTAAATTTCTTCTTTCCAAACTCTCGTTATTTGATCCACCTTGAGTTTGAGGGGGGGTGTTAGAACATGTTGTATAGTTTTGTAAGTTTTCCTTTACATCTCTTCTTTCTCTTTGGTCTCACATAGGAAGAATGCTAGGCTCTTTTACTCCTCTAAGCCTATATAAAGGCTTCTCATGTACATTGTTTCCCACACCATTATAAGAGAATAAATACCATTCTCTTTTAATCTTTCTTTCTTATCATATATATGTTATGGACCTCATAACTATTCCCAGATCAAAAAATTAAGAACACGTTCACCTCATGTGTGTGAATTCTTGCTCCAAGCTAGTTCTTTTGAAATTCTGCTTGTTCGAATACTCCACAAGTCTTCAACAGCAGCTGTGCATGCATCCAGTGCTTTCGCGGATGAGGCAAATAGACTGGTAAATTCTAAATCGTTAACCTTGCGGGCCCATTCGACATCATTTGTCTTGTTAACAAGGGTGTTTTAGATATTATTTAATTACCGACGAATATAGAACTTGCGTTTTCAACACATCAACGAGTAAAATCCACCTTTTTCTCGCGTCGTACAGTTTTCATTCCCTAACGCCGCCGCTGGCATAATCACGTTCCTGAAATTTCAGAGTACTCCATTTTACTCATCTAGCTCAACGTTGAACATGTGCTTTGAGTGGTGTCTATACGTGTCCAATCCGACAATGCTCTATCTTGTCTAACCAGGTTGATTATAAGACATCGCTTCCAAATTCTCAATTTACTACGTCATATTCTGCGAGGAACCAAAAGCACAGTTTCAATCGCGGTGCCATGTCCCTCGACTCGGGATTTTGTTTGCGTCTTACCCGTTCGATGAGGTCGGTACAGTATTCGACGGGTCCGGGATTTCACCTACTTAAGTAGGCTTTCTCTTCATTTATATAGAAAAAAAAGTTCAGGGACCTAATTGAAAAGGTCAGCTCAAGGACCAGACTGAATTGATAAAAAAAAAAGGAAAGATGAGTATGGGCCTCGAAATTCACTATGCAAAGCTCGAATGGGACTCTGCAATACGAGATCTGACAGGCCCAAGAGCAAAACCCACGAATGACCCATCAAGTTGGGCTCCATCTTCACCTTCGGCCCAACTAAAAAGCCCACGAACAAAGCCCACTCCAGGGCCGAGGGCCATCCGCGATTGAACACGTGGCGGGTTCCATTTCCGTCCACGTAGGTAGTTTCGGAGCCACAGCTTCAACTGTAACTAACAGCTCCACGTTTTCCCTCCATTTTTCTCTCTCTCCGAGCTTCGATCCTGCGTCTCTCTCTCCCTCCCTCTCATGGCGGCGTCGATTTCCGTTCAGCCGGGGAGGTTTAGGGTTTTGAAGGAAGGGGCGAGGCGCTCCGACGGCGAGGCCGGGCCGGTGGTGTACTGGATGTTCAGGGATCAGCGGTTGAGGGACAACTGGGCCCTGATCCACGCCGTCGACCGGGCGAGCCGCGCCAACGTGCCCGTCGCGGTGGCCTTCAACCTGTTCGATCGGTTCCTGGGCGCGAAAGCGAGGCAGCTGGGGTTCATGCTCCGGGGATTGAAGCAGCTGCACCGGGAGATCGAGGAGAGGCTTGGGATACCCTTCTTCTTGTTTCAGGTGAGTGCCGGCGATTTCTGGTGGAACTGGCGTTCTTCGAGTTGGCAGTCTTTTGAGGAATTGTGATGTTAGTCGTTCGCGCTCGGGGTTTGGATTTCAACTGTATGGTCACCGCGTTGCATCTATGTGAAGTAGTTTAATAATCTGATGCTGACATGGTGCTTTTTCGATGAATCACATGACGCTCATGTTGGTGGTTTGGCGGAGAGTTTGACGGATTGATCGCGAATGAGATTAGTTGAACAGTATAGTGTAACTAAAAGTGATGGCAAGTCAGTGGTCTTAAATGTAATGCAGAAACTCGAACTTTTTGCATATCTGACAAGAAAAAAACGTATCTTTCATGTAAATGAGTGAAATTTGGCCGTCATATTTTGTCGTTTTAGTTTCATGACTAGGTGGATTTCGCAGTTGTGTTGTATTGATGTTGATAATGCAGGTCGTGATTTTTGCATTGTGCGAAAATTGTGGTTGTGTGTTTTTGTCACTACGAGCTACTCTAGTTAACTTCTATTTGGTGCTCTACGGTTTCGTGCCTAGGTATTTTAGGGGTCATTTATGAGCTAGTAAGCCCGTTGCGTATAAATCTGATGCACTCTGATTTATGGTCGTATGGATTGATTATCTAGGGTGAAGCTGATGAGACTATACCAAAGTTTCTTAAAGAATGTGGGGCTTCACTTTTGGTTACGGATTTCTCACCCTTAAGAAAAGTTCGACAGTGTAAGGAGAAAATTTGCGAGAGAGTTGATGATTCAGTGACAGTACATGAAGTTGATGCGCACAATATTGTACCTGCTTGGGTGGCATCACAGAAGTTGGAATACGGTGCTAGAACTATTAGGGGAAAGATCAATAAAATGCTTCCAGAGTATCTGATTGATTTCCCTACCCTGCAACCGTCAAGTAGAAGATGGGATACCGCCCATCGATCAATTGATTGGGACAATCTTATTGCGGATGTCCTGAGGTTAATTTTATGCTTCATCTCATTGTTAAATATGAAATTCTATTGCTTGTTATATCCTGTTGACAAATCTTCCTTTACATAATAGGAAAGGAGCGGAAGTTCCTGAACTCAGTTGGTGTAAGCCCGGGGAAAGTGCTGCACTGGAAGTATTGATGGGAAATGAAAATGGCTTTCTGACAAAAAGATTGAGAAATTATTCAGCAGACCGGAATAATCCATTGAAACCCAAGGGGCTTTCTGTACTTTCTCCTTATTTGCATTTTGGCAAGATATCTGCCCAGCGCTGTGCTTTAGAGGCACGTAAAGTACGGAAAAGTTATCCTCAGGTACTTCAGATTAGATAGCTGAGTAAGTAGATCAAGTTCTAACTTTTTTAGAACGTAGAAGTATGACTTCTGCTGACAGTAGAGTCACAATCTTCCACCTTTTTGTAGAAAGTTCCTGCGGTTCTGCAACTGGTTTCATTATGTGTTTATCTTTCTCTGGCTCATCCTCTGGTGACACGCGGTTTGATATTTCTTCTTTTACTTGCAATCGTGAAGGCAGTAGATGCATTCTTGGAGGAGTTGATTGTGAGGAGGGAACTTGCTGACAACTATTGTTTCTATCAGCCTCACTATGATTCATTAAAGGGGGCATGGGAGTGGGCAAGGAAGACATTGATGGATCATGCCTCTGACAAGCGAGAACCTATCTACACGTGAGTGGCAAGCCCTTGTTTCTATTGTTATCTGTATGTTTTCTGACATCAGATTCCTGACTGAGTTTAGGTAAATTATTATTCGTTTTGTAGAAGGGAGCAGTTGGAGAAAGCCCTAACAGCTGATCCAGTAAGTTGATCTTTGGATTTTTGAGTAGTGCATTGTATTTTGCCTGTTTTTCCCTTCTCTGCTGGCAGCCTTAGTCTCAGGCTCTCATGACATCTTGAATGGTCTTCTCCAGCTTTGGAATGCCTCTCAGCTTGAGATGGTATACCATGGAAAAATGCATGGTTTCATGAGGCAAGTATTCACCTCCTCGATTCCCCTGGCGCTCTAATCAACCGCTTTATAAACTGAACATTGTCTAATCGTGGGGAAAGAGAAAAGTGCATCATGGAACTTGAATAGAGTACTTTCTTTTTGGTTGCGTTGTATTCTTTACATTGACTGATCTTGTCAGATAGGTTACTCACTTACATTTGCTCGTGTGGTTCTATACGATGCGGTGAATTTCACTGTTATCAGAATGTACTGGGCCAAAAAGATTCTTGAGTGGACAAAAGGACCTGAAGAAGCACTTGAAACAGCTATATATTTGAATGACAAGGTAAAATAGTGAACTCAAGAAACGTGATTCAACTGCATTTCATTTTCTAAATGGCGATTGTATGCTTGTTCCGTCTATTATGCCCACATTTCCTAACTGAATATATTCTGAGATGCAGTATGAAATAGATGGACGGGATCCCAATGGTTATGTGGGATGTATGTGGTCAATATGTGGTGTTCATGACCAGGTAAGCATTTATCATGGATTCATTTCGTGTTTAATTTTGTTATAGTTCCTGTTGGAGGAGATGATTTGACCTTTCATGCCGGAACCAGCCTTTGATTAGTATTTAGGGTGTGGAGTGCTTTTGCTTGGCTAATACATAATATAGAGAATGTGGCTTACACTGAACACACTCGATCATAGAGATGGCTCATGCCTCAGATGTGATTTCTCCTGCATAATTCCGAGTTCGATGTTGGGGTTTGGTTGAATGGCAGGGTTGGCGAGAGAGACCAATATTTGGGAAAATACGATACATGAACTATGCGGGGTGCAAGAGGAAATTCGATGTTGATGGATACATTGCTTATGTCAAGAAGCTGGTTGGCGAAGTGAAGAAAAGAAAAGCAGAAACCGATTTAGATAAGGAAGCCAAAGCACTCTGCAGCTAATATCAGTTATCTGTGGTTCTCATTGTGTTTAGTAGTTAAGTATTTCGGCCATGGTTGCTTCTTAGGATGCTCTGATTGGAGAAAAAGAGACCAGAAGATTGTTTTGTTTTATGTTTGACAACTTGGAGAGTCTCGACAGTTCAGATTATGGTGTGGTCTAGATTTGGTACAGGGAATAGAAATTAAGGCAGGACTATTCAAGATCATTCTTCAGGATTTTGTTGATCTTAACATTGTTGTATTACTAGCAGTGAATATTAACCACCTTTTTGGGTAAAATGTTAACTATATGATTCTTACATTGAGAGGAAGTTATGGGGCAAAGAGCTTTCTGCATGTGCCTGATCTTATGATCAGTATCTTCTAACTTGATCTGACCTTTCGAGCAAAATATAAAGGTTCCAGAAAGTTTAATCAAATGCTAAAGCTTACCCTCTAGCTCTCAACAACCATCAAAGCCATGACTAATGGAAGAGTCAATGACCAAAACTAATTAAGTATTTGTGAGGCGCAAATAGTCTGTCCCGAAGAATGTCCACCCGAGCTTTAAGGTTGTCTGCGCAAAAAGTGCATGTTTAGTTTCAATAATTTCTTCCAAAATGGATCACCGGACATTCAGATTAAGAAAACAAAAATATGTGCAAATTGCACCCAAGACTAGGGATGAGCACGGGTCCAGGGTCGAACCGGGAACCGAAGAACCGGACTGATGGGTCCGGTTCGGTTCTCGGTTCTAGGGAGGGAGGTTCCGGTTTCTGGTTCCATTTTTTTAGAAACCACCAGTTCCGATTGGGTTCCCGGTTCCTATAGGAACCGAGAACCGGAACCGGGAACCAAAACCGAAAATCGGAACTGAAATCGGGAACTGGAGCCGAGAACCGAGAATGGAATCGGGAACCCTAAGTCTAAAATCTCTAATTTTCTTATTACTCCTCACTTCTCATTTCTTAGCTCTCAAATTCTTATCTCCATCCGTGTGCTCGTTACTTTGCTTAACTTGTCATGTAGAACATTTCCTAAGGTTTATTTAGACCTTTGATATATTGTGGTTTTGGAGTGCCCACCATTCGCATGCTCATTGCTTTGCTTAACTTGTTATGTTTGGCTATTCATTGTCATGTATCTATGCCAAGTTTATATTCTTTAGTGAGGTCAATTGTTTTCGTCATTCAATCTTTCAAGAAATATCTCAAGTTAGATGGTTGCATAGTTAGAACCATGGCGATAATGGATGAAAAGAAAAAGTGGTAGCTGCAGTTACAAATAGTTGATACGTGACACTTCAATTTTAAATTTAAAACTATTATTAAGTTATCAATTATGATTGTTGTTTCTTTTGATTTTAGGTGGTTAGAATTTGAAACAATTTTTCATGGATGTTTGAGGACCAAAAGCTCATCTTTCTTTCCTTTTTCCCGCTTCCCGTTTTGTTTGTGATCTTGGATATGGATATTGTCTTAATTAATATGTTAATCGCTTGTGAATTCTATTGTGTATTTATTCACGGAATGACTTCTCATTTAATTATATTTATTTGAATCCTAATGCAAGGAAAACTAGTCTTTTGTATTTTCTTTGGTGAATAATAAGCTTATTCGGTATTGTTACGTTCATTTTCGTTTTGTTTAACTAAAAATGAAACAAACAAAAAAACACTTATTGGACTCTTGAACCGACCCTAGAATTTGTGATAGGGTAGGTTTTAGGTTTCAGGTTCTGATGAGTAAGTTTCATGTTTCAAAAAATAAGGTTCCAAGTAAAACCTGTAAGGAACCTGAAACTGCTTATTCTTACTCAAGACAAATGTTCGTGGTCCATCCACAATCTTTGTTATTTCTCTTTTCTTCCTTAACCATCCTTCAGCATCTGATCCACTAGTATTTCAGGAGACAGGAAGGCACCTAATGCAGGGTAATAGTCCACACAAGAAAGGTGAAAAACATTTATAAAAGAGTGCTGGTATTTCTGCATACATGCACTCGACATGTCCAACATGAACAGATCCTATCTTGCAATCGAATTACAAGCTGCATTGAACCATCTGTCGAGTTCTCATCCTCTCGGTTGCTATATTATACACATGAATCAGCTGGTTGGCTCCAGGTATGGGAAGGACAAAAAAAAAGAGAGAGAATGCGACACACAACCCTGAATCAAGAATAATTGTTGCTGGATCCTCATCAGGAATATTAAGTTTGTACTGGCGCTCCACTGTACCATGAGGCATTCTTGCAACAAAACAAGTTTAAAAAATATGCTTGGGAGTCAACTGCACTTGTAAGCAGATGCTTATCCAGCTTGTAGACCTTCCCAATTATATCTGGACATCATCCAATGAAAGCTCATGCGCTGTCAACAGCTTCAGCTTCTGTAGATCAAATGAAACATATAAGAGCATGAGCATTTTAAGAACTCTCTAGTGGCAGTAACTGAAAAAAGAAATTGATCCCAAATTGTGCAAGTAAATATGTTACCGTGATAAACTGCGGAGGATCATCAAGACTGGACGAGCCTAAGACCACTTCTCTCCTTAGCTTAGTTGTAAGCTTATGGCAAACCCTAAGCTGAGAGAGGAAACATTTCAAGAGCGGCAAACAAAGCACCGGGAAGAGCACAAGCGGAGAAATTAGTAAATTCTTTTACCTCTGATCTGGTAGCTCCACCAACAATGAACACAAAAACACGATTGCCTAGTTTCTTTAAGTCGCTAGATGCATGTCTTAGAACTGAATCACTGCAGGACGGGATAAAATCATCACAAATCGATTAAATTGATGTTTGCTCGCATAAGTAAGTCTCTCTAGCAATAAGCCCATGAAATCACAGGTCTTTAGGGAATGAGGAGGACAATGATTGCATATGCTTCAATAAGAAAACCCCAACAAACTACTACACTGATCAAGGTGAAGAGACATGGAAAATCTCATAATATGAATTATGTGACCTGACAGAGTCAGAAAATTAGACAAAAAAGGCATATCTAACTGAGAAAAGAAACCGAAAGACAGGACATGAGACTTTTATCTGTCAATTAAGGAGAAGCAAAAGTTAAAAATCACCTTGAATACCCATCATCAGAATTGCGAGGTCGGGCCCATGTTGATGTCCGTTTTGATCTCATCGAATGAGCAGCTGGAGTTGGATTAGATGAAACTACATGTGATGTCCCGTGAAAGCTTGGACTAGGATCATTCATACATGGATAATCCTCCTTTGGTAGTTCCCCTTTGCAAAGCTTTTCAATAAGCTCCTGAAGGAAAGGGAGAAAAGACCAAGCATTTCAAGGTAATTAACTACCGCACCTGATTACCATGACTACAACTACCAGTAGAGTCAGTTTCAAGCTCGCCCAAGTTGTCACCCAGAAAAATAATAGAAAACAAAAGATAAGCTTGCCAGCAAGAGCAAAATCCTGTTGACGATCTAGAAAGCTTATGAGCACTCCCTAGTATCTTGTCTTATACTGAAATTCCCATCTCTGCAAATTAACTTTTCTTAGTAAACTGATAGTTTAGTCATAGATGTCGCATTAGTAGGCCCACACATCACAATTAAAGCAGTAAACAAAGCTCCATGGCCTAAGCGCCAGGCAACAATACTCCTCTCCTTTTTACCATACAGCAAATGACATATCAGCCTCGTGTTGTGTTAATGAGATAGTTCTCATAGATCACATCTCTCTACCCCTCCTTCCCTCTCCTCCCTCCCTCCCTCCCTCCCTCTCTACTCTCTCTCTCTCTCTCTCTCTCTCTCTCTCTCTCTCTCTCCAGAGATGTGTGTGAGTATCCACATATAAGACCGTGAGGGAGGTTGTGTTGCACGTGAGCATAGCTGCCACACATATAAGATCCATATAAAAATTATGATTCATTTGACTACCAAGAAAGTGGAAATTTTGTCAAGAAATCTGTACTTATTCTTCCTGGAAAAACAATTAAAATATCCCCCCACTTCCAGTTTAGGAGACTAAAATCAAGTCTTTTGAGATTCCTCCCCTCATGCAACTGAATGAAAACAGTAAGTGGGAGAAAACCGTGGATTAAATTTACGGCTTTCATGCAACAATTTCCCCTAAGTCTTTTGCATGTCGAGCAATTACACTCAGTTAAATCTTTTGTTCTTTATATTCTGAGATATACAACCATCCTTCTGAATACATGGAACATCTTTCCTTCGAATTGCTGGAAAGTAAACAAGAGGCCAATCTGACAACAAAAAATCTTTAACTGCAAGATTTGCTTCTTATTCCTTTATCTCTGGTGTTAATCTTTGTTCGATAGGATGGTAGCACCTGCATGTGCTATCAATGGTGATAAATCGTATTGTGACTTATCCTAATCCCTTTGGTGTTGCACTAATAAATAGAGTAAGCACATCCTTTTGGGAATGACAATTTTAACTCAGATTCCAGAGCTGACATGAAATGGATTTGTCTCATTCAGACTCAACCAAAGTTCACCCACCAAGTGTGCTTAATGCCTTTTCCAAAAACTCCATCTAATGTATTTCATTTATGGTCAAAGAGAATTATTACCTCTATCATGGGATAAAAGCGCGACAACTGCCATGTTTCTTCTTCACAGGTGCGTTCTTTTCTGGCTGCACGTTTTTTCTATTTAAATAGAGGTAGTCAGAAAGAGGCATTTGAAGACAGAAACTCGCTGTTGATGAGGAGATCATATCATACAATACATCTACCTTATGCATATCGAACTTAATAGTAAAGGAACTCATATTGCTTTTCTTGGTATCTGTTGCTCCCCCCAGCAATCTCATGTTATTCACCGCATTCATATCATCCATGGGTAATTTTGCAAGCTGAAGGAGGGAAGAAGAAATGAATTATATAATTTCTGTATTAACTGAATTAAGATGGCCAATCAACTGGCACAGTAAGGATGTGTATGTGTATAGGTATATAACACTTATATCTTCTACCAGTTGATGGACCACCAAAGAGAGACGATGAAATTGCGAAAAGAGTTCATGAAATTGGGATCAGAACTACCTTCATCAAATTGAGACCCTTGTCACCCTCAAATTTCTCTGGATAGATAGCTGCAAGAATCATTAATAACCGTAACTTATTTTCACGAGTTGCATCCTGCAGGAAAGTATGTTTTGGTCACATATTATCCTGATCATGCTTCAAGAGGGCATCAAGCAGATTATGCAACATATGCATTACCTCCTTCGCAGTCAAAAACTTAATTACTTCTTTCATTCCAGCATCTCCAAAAACAAGGTCCTGCTCCAGCTGCCCCAGTTCTCTAAGTCCC